TTATAAATATTATAAATTTTTATTTAAATATTAATTTATTATTAAATCTTACTTATAAGTACTTATATTTATATAATTATATTATTTAGGTACTTACCTATAGGTAAGTATCTAGAATAGGTATCTTTAGGTACTTACCCCTATTAAATAGGTACCTATAGATACCTATAGGCTAGGTATTTTAAAGGCTGCTTGTTACTTATTATCAAAATAACTTAAGTTAAGATTTAACAAACAACCGCAATCAACTACTTATACACCAATACATCAATCATCATGTCCATTTTCCAAGACACCAATTCCGAATCACGGCCCGCGATTGTGTATACACTTCCCCCGGGCCAAGTCGTCAGCATTCCAATCTCCGGCCCAATCCCCAACGAAGAAGAACAGAACACCTAGGAATCTGTCAATGGAGAGAACAAGAAACATGAAAAGCTTGTTGCAAAGGACGAAGCGAAGAAGTACACTGTCAAGAAATCTATCAAGGCTTTTCTCAAAGGAAAGCAGCATCATGCGAGTGGGTAGGTGAATGGCGCCATGAATGTAGAGGCATGCGCAAGATTCACCCATCAAATCAAGCACGATGTCGACTACGCTCAAACCCTCCTCACTCAGTCGAGAGATTTGGTTCGAAAGAATGAGGAAATGCTCATCTGGATTTGCGGCACAATGTCCGAAATCCAGAACAATCTTGCAAAGTTCAACGGCTGTATCCCGAACAAGAATGATGTAGGCGCAACTCTGAAGGGAAATAAGAGAGAGCGGGCAGAGCAGAGTCAGGTTCTTAGAGCTAACCATTCTTCTCTCATGGCTGCTATTAATGTCATGCACCAGCTCAGGCTGACGCAGAAGCAGAAGCCAGCATTGAGAAGCAGCATGCCTCCGTCAGACTAGCTCTGCTAAGCGAAGATCTGCAGTTGAGCTTGAGGGGGTTTACTGCCCGTGATTTCTAACTGGATAGCCCATTTTCTTGTTGTGCGCTTGCTCTCATTGAGCGTCTCACCTGCTTTTCGTTTCTCATTCTTTTGTTAGTTAGTTTCTTGTTTCTGTAGAGGTTCAGCTTGGGTATGTCTAAGGCACTAGAGCTCTCCGTGTCCTGGAAAAGAGGAAAACATCCCTGATAGCACTCAGGTAGTATGGAGGAGTGGGCGGTATGGTGCTGGTTCATAGAAAGTTTCTGTCACTTGTTAATGTATTTTTGCAATTCAATACTGGACTGAATAGGATGTGATTATGATATGCCAGCCTTGATCCCTACCGCAAATCCCTGTAAGAGTCCCTCCTTTTCTCCTGCAATCTTGGCATTGCTTTGGACAACACGTCTTCACCACAAGAAAAGAATCGACAGTGCAGTCAAATCTGGCTACTGGCCGCCATTCTATGTATTATCCAAAGTCAGTAAGCCAGCAGCTAGGCGCACTGGCGCAGATGTTCAATTGAAATGGAGCTCGAGCCAAGACGCCCGGTTCGTAAGGTTCTGACCGGGTTCTAGTCATCCAAAACAGTGGACGATATGCAAAAAAATAAATGACTAGACTCTCATTCTGTCAGTAATTTAACCCAGCCAGCCTACCCATCGAGCCATGGTAGACCGCTAGCCGTGTCCCGTGAAATAGAGTTAATCATCTGCTAAACGTTTGGACTTAAGAAAAAGTAAAAACAACAACACCAAACGCTCCCCATTCGGGTTTCCGCGTTTTACCGTTGCTATTTATGACAGGGTTCGTATCTGAGGTATCTTTTGATATATTATACTTGGAACCTGGCTGTAAACCTCGCCAATCAGAAGTGCCAATAGCCGACAGCCTAAGCAGCCCAGAGATGACTTTACCGCCTTGCTGTTCGTTCACCGTTAAGAGTGACGACTGGGCTTGGGTATTGTCGTCAGCTCATGCGTAGAAGAAATCGATAAGCTACCGTTTTCACCATCGCTTTTAGGACCTGTCACTTGGCTGCCTGTACAGTGATTCCCGTGGCAATTAGCTACCTGACAACCTCTGCGAACGAGCCAGGGCAAAAATGGATGCTTTTCAACCACAATAAGGTCTCAAATACTTGATGAAGAACATATAAGCGTAGCAAAGGAGGTAGAATTTGACACCATTTGTTAAACTTTTGGCCGAAATCACCGTATCCTTTCACGTATATAGTTTGTCACGCATTGCGGAGGGGCAAAATCCATGCTGATAACCTGGCAGTGGCTTCTGCCATGGACATGGGCTAGTTTCACCGTTCTTGTCTCTAGAGTTCCCAAATGAAGTCATGATACTAATGTCTGTATTCTTTTTCTTTGTCCTTCGGCCACACCGGCTGAGCTCGAGCCATTGCTAAAGAGACGAAACTGCGCTTAGAGCTGTATTGTAGGGGGCACGCAGATACGAATTGCCGGTCACTGGATGGTCAAAATGACTGGAATCTGCACTCTGATCATCCTTTAAGAACCAGATCCCCTTCGTCAATCTCGACCCAATCTAACATCGCCTGCGCGACCCAGCCGGCAGAGTATTCAATACCCAAAACGCAACAACCCTACAATATCATCGTACATACAGCAAAAAACCAACTCACACAATGTCAGGAGTTGAAGTCGCGCTTCCCATCTTCCCGGAGGTTTTGGGGTTGACCAAAGCTCTGGTAGACATTGGAATCTCTGCTAGCGACTTGAAGCAAGATGCCCAGGCGTGCGCAAGACTGGTTGAGCAAACCAAGCACGACCTTCAGTATGCCAAGAAGCTGAGAATTTGTCTGTTCGCTTTGGCCTCTGAGCACGATGACACTCTGGCCTGGATCAACGGCACAATCGACAGAACGGAAGCGGCCCTGAAGGAATACGCCAAGAATGTACCCAAGGAACACGTCGAAAAGGCAACTCTGCGCGCCCTCGTACAAAAGCTGCAAGATCAGAAGAAATGGGAGGAGTGGGGCAAGACTCTTGGAGCCAGCCATTCATCTCTCGTCGCCGCAATCAATATTATGCATCAAATTCATCCGAGAAACGCGGCTGAGGTGGCCAAGGAAAAGAAGGACCCAACACGGGCTTGCAGCATGCCTCCTCGAAGCTTCAAGCCCAAGGCAAAGGAGCTCCCGTGAACGCTGGATGTTTGGTCAGTTGTCATGTATGTTGGTCTGATGGAGCTCCTGTTTTCCCTCCCTTTCCCGTCCCGTCTATGGAGGAGGTCTTGATCCTTGTCACACAGGACGGGAAGAGTTTCATATGGTATTGCAGCATAGACGGAAGAGGTGGAGCCTTTCACGGATACTGTATTTTATCGAATATGTTTTGCGACCGCAATAAGCCTAACAAATGCGTTTGCGATAAGCTCCAATTGTCCGAGCGCGCGGTTCAAAGTCCTTGATCTAAGCCCAGCCCCCTCGCTTGTACGACACTCACAGTGCCTACTGCCTTGCCATATGACAGTTGTCAACGGCAACTAACGCATAACAACGCCACCTACGGCCTGCAAATTAAACCGTATGATGTTGAATGAAGGAGATCCGTAGCGTACACCCCCCTGATCCCGTGCCCAGTCAAAGGCTGCATGCAGGTGGAAATGCTCGCTCTTGGGCGACTGCTCTCCGTGTTGTGTTGCCACAGTCTGAGAATGAGTGCATTATTTGATACACTTCGATTCTTTTACAAAGGGGACAAATTGGTTCTCAGTAAAAGGCTAACTTAGTAAAAAGCTAAATACACACTGTGGCATCAGATATCAGAAATACCAAGTTCTCCGTGGTAAGATAAGCTGTCGGTTTTGGTCACGCCTCCACTAAGTTCTCTCTACAGATAAAGCTCGGATCTCCTCACGCGTCCAGATTCGGCCTCTGTAGTTTGGCTTAGGACGTGGCAAAATCTCACGCTCCACGATGGGAGCTCCCGGGGGGCCGTTGTATACGGTAGGAGGCCTGGTCCATTTGACCTGGCCATTCCACATGAACCTGATCCTAGGAGCGACGAGACGACCTTGGTCCGAACCCCAGTCGGTTTCCCACACAGAGGGTTGCCCGAAGAAGATAAGAGCACAGTTTGCTGCGATGCCGAATATGCCGTTCAAATTCTTTTTTAAATCAGCACCAGAACGGCCACGAGCATCTAGGAGCTCCACGTTCAGGGCGTCAGCGACTTCAGAAGCCATAGAGTCAATCCTCTCTCGCCGCGGGTCATCCTTATCGAGACTGGTCGCGGGCATGTATACCATTTTGTACCGATTCATGAGCATCATGAACAGAATCTCTCTCCAGACCGAGATACAATCCTCCCCTGAGATTATGTCAGCAGAGTCCGCCGCAACAGCGATATGAACATCGAACTTACTGTGAGCGAATCGCCGATGAGGGATGAACTGAAAGCATGTTGAGACCTCAGGCGGCAGCAGACATTCTTCAACATTGCAGTCTGGATCCATTCGTCTGTAGAGCAGTCGGAAGAGGAAGTTCCATACGGCGTAGTATCGAGTGTCTCGGTCGCAAATCAACTCTGACCACGTGTCACCTTCGGGAGGATTACCGGCAAGGCGGACAAGTTCATCATCATTGAAAGAGGATCTCTCGATGGTTGACATTGACGCGGTAGTGACAGTTCCGAGGCCATAAATAATATTGTTGCAAAAGCTTTCGGTCAGGCACTCGAACCCTTCAACATTCTCCGCGATTCCTTTGGGCCCACGGACATCTATGATACGGTGAGCCAACTCCCTGTGTGACTCCGTAATAGGATTTGGATTCATCGGACTGCGGATGACCTGGCTCTCCGGGGTTTGCTGAGGAGCGGGAACATTCGAAGCTGCAGTCTTTTGTTTGGTGGAGATTTCAGCAATATCGTGGTTGCGATTATTGCTCAGCCAAGAGAAGAAAGAGGCTCCACGTACAGTCCCTCTCAAAGCTAGGACGATGATGACGACCAGGAGGGAAATCGTGCAGACCCCAACAGCCCAGCCAATGAAGAACGACTCAACAAACAAATAATCCATCGCAGCAGGGACGCCTGATGGGAGGTCTCGGTATGAATTAAATGGAGCTGCTCCCGCCGTTGAAAGAAGAGGAGAGTTAAGAGGCCAATGTGAAGATAGGGATGGGCGGCCATAAATGGAACTGGCAATTGGAGACTCAAACCCAGCTTAAGAGACCAACAACAATATCCCACTAGCTCAAGATTGATCACCCCGTGCGAGCAAACATGTTTTGGGGCAAAGGAGTCGTCTCAGTTGGTGGAGCAATGTGGCTGGCTTGGCGTGAGCATGGGCCTGTGCCTGTGCCTGCTCGGGCTTAAGTTTATTGCCGGTGTGACCCTCCAGGGAAATTGGTATGCACCAACCCCCGTAATAACTCATTTGTGATACCTTCTCAATAGAAGGCGGGAAATGTAAGTGGGTGTGATGGTAGGAGGGACGGCATGCTGCTCGACACTGCTGTTCCTTCACTCAGCGGTGTAGAACATGCAGCACCGCGGCCTCAAAAAGTTTCACTGTCCCTCTCAATCGTGGTAGGGGGCCTTGATAGTTCCTCTTTCTCTTTCTCTTCCTCCTTCTCGCTTCATCTTTCAATATTCGTCAGCCAAAATCGACCAATAAGCCGGAATCATGGCAGAGGATCTTGTTGTTGGGATCGACGTTGGAATGAGTGGTATGTGATCTGGTCCACCCTAAAAGTCTGAATAACCACAGCGATAATGTGGGCTTCTGACCACATTAATAGGTACCGGTGTAGCATACAGACGCAAAGGTTACGCTGAAGTGACTTGCCTGGAATGGGGTATCGATAAGAAGGATCCAAAGACACCCACCAGAGTCTTTTACAATGTCCGCGATCAGCCGCCGAAGCTCGTTGGATGGGGAATGGACGTCCCCGACGACTCTGTCGAGCATCTTGAACTGCGCGAATGGTTCAAAGTCGACCTTGGAGCAGTCGATGCTGACCGGTTTGAGGTAAAGAGAATTTACAGAGACTTCCTCACTTCCTTGTTCTACGAACTAAGCACACACCGGTTCACACCCGCTATACTGGGCGGTAAAAGTTTTGAAGAGGCGAGTGTCTTATTCCTATTCAGTGTTCCCGCCTTATGGGGCCCGGCTGTTGTCGAGGATTTTATGCAACTGGTTCGTGAATCTGGCTTCGAAGAGAAGGGCCTTCGCAGCGCTAGAGTAACCATGACAGAGCCGCAAGCGGTTGCTGCATATGAGATTTGCGTACCAAACTCTGAGTACAAACTCAAGGTCAGTGAGCCAAGGCCTTCAGGAAAACCATGACTCATATGCGCCTCACAGAACGGCGAAAATGTCTTGATCGTTGATGCTGGCGGCGGAACTACTGTAACTTTGCCCCCTGTAGGTATTGTGACATTGCCGGTGCTGACCTCTGAAGGATTTCTGCCTCTTGAAGATGGACGATAGTTACGAGAAACCGCCCCAAGCTATGGAACTAACTAGCCCCACCAACAGGTAAAGCCACTCTCTCTTTGAGGCATGAGCTAATTTGCTTAGCCTGTACAACTGGCTCCACGTTCATCGACCAAGGCTTTGAGGAAATGGTGATGGCCTATCTTCAGGACAAGCGTGATTCTTTGGTAAGAGATATCGATGATGTTAGCTGGGACTTGCGAAACAGCAACCTATTCCACATTGGCAAACGCGAGTTTGACCCCGATAATTGGAACGACTTGGAATTTAACATTCCTTTGAAGAACAGCGCTCCCACTTCCGTTGTTCTGACTGGGTAAGCTTCCACCATGCCAAAGGAAAATTGAGATATGTTTCTCATTAAATTTAGGAAATGAAATCTCTCAGTTCTTTGTTCAACCGCCAGATTGATGAAATCAATAAAAACATCGGGAGCCATGTCAAAGCGTTCATGACGGACAGCGGGACCAACTCCGAAAACCATCTTGTACGTCACAAAACAGGCCGTGAATGGGGTTTGTCTCTGATTACGCAGGAGTACATTATCCTCGCTGGTGGGCTCGGAAGCTCCCGCTACGTTCTAGGCAAGATCGAAGAATTTATGGGTAAATTGCCGTTCAAACTTGCAGCGAAACCCAAGGTCGTGATGTCAGCTGCCCCTCGACTTGCTGTTTGCATGGGCCTGGTCCACAACGCGGGCCGTAACCCAGAGCTTTTCCCACGACGCTTCAATCGAGTCTCAATCGGCGTCGCGTCTCAGTCATTGACAGATAAAATTAAGAACAGCCGCTTCCACAATTTCATCAAGCGAGCATTTCTACGTGCCCCCAAGGGCCAGAAGCCTGGGGGAGAAGTGGAGTGGGTTCTCGTCAAGGTAAAATTTCACCATTGAGATTGATGTCACGGGCTGCCTTTGCTGACATGACGATACAAGGGGGAACTTGTCCCTGACCGAGTCGCCGTCCCTGAACAAACAGCGTACTTCAGTGCGGATTTGCCATCCAACCAGCGGATCTGGGAGCTGGCGATTCTCCACAGCTTCGAGAGCGACATCGAACGTTTGACTCTTGGAGGTAAGCCTCTGACCCCTGATGGCGCATGGCAGATATTAACATACACAGATGCCTGTCGCGTCCATTCAGTCCTCAGAGTGAACTTGTCGCATATTGGAGAACCTGACAAGGTTGTGGCAGGAGACGCCCTAGCAAGACTCCATCTGGCTCGAAAGCCCAAGATCCCCATCAAATTTGACCTTCGAATAGAAGTTGGACTAGCCACTGCCGAAATCCATTGCAGTATGATTATCAGCCCAGAGTGAAGGATCTTGACACTGACACATTACTAGCTGATAAGAAGGGACGGCTTTGCAGTGATCCCATCAGTATCCCGACAGGCTATGAGCTCGTTCCAGCCACTGGCCAGAGTGCTGTGTATGAATTGAGCTAGGTAAGATTGAAGACATTCCAGTCTAGCTCGGCCAATGACGGCTGACTTGGTCAACAGGGGCCGTCTTTAAGAACGCGATGGGTTGACACAGTTTGGAAATGGATTAGCTGCCCTTGTATTCTGGACCACGCGAGCCTATTCAACGTAAAGTCTATCGCCGGGGCACACCTATTATAACTATGGCAGGGATTTCTCAAATAGATGGAGATAATATGTAAGACTAAAATCCTAGTTAGTATTGGTCTTTCTGCTCTTGAGGTCACTCACAAGATCGTGCCATGCCACCCCGGCATATTCAGACTCGCTCTTCCCATAGTGCTCAAATCCAAGTCTCTGGTAGTACGGAACAAGACGGTCATACGTCAAGATAGATATACGATCCGCCGCATTGAGCGACTTCGTTCTCTGGATATAAACGCGCATGATGGCCTTGCCCAGCCCGGCCCTCTGGTAATCGGGAGCGACAGCAAGAGCATGGAGAGCAATCGTTCGTCCATTCTTGTTGTGACCGACGGCGCAGTCACCTTGGGGATCTTGTTTCCAGTTGCGGGGGTAGTCCATATCCTCATCTTTGACGGGTTTGTTGGTCGTTTTAGTAGAGATGACATGCGCGAGAAGCACATCGTCGCTGGATGCCGAATCATCCGCGAATGGGATGTCATGAGGAAGGGGAGACGGCAAGCTGGCGCCAGCACGAAGGAATAGGCCAATGCATATCTCAGGACAGACTGCCAAGCGATACTCAATCTAGATCGAGGTTAGATCCGAATCTCGGGCTTGTCTGTCTGTCTGTTATGGATCTCACAACCTTTTCACGAGTGGCGGCCTCGGCGGGAGGAAACGCGGCAGTCTCAACGGCCAGTGACCGCTCTAGGTCATTGATGTTGAGCTGTCGAGCATAAAGGGACATCTTGAAGATACAGGTAAAGAGTATTTGCTTGAATCAAGGTCGATAGGGATTGACTTTACTCTATATATCTGTCGAAGGATGAGACTTGGGCGTCAACGACAATGACAAACCGACATCGGGCGGGGTTTGGTTTGGTTTGGTTTGGTTTGGTGGGGCTTAAACAAAACCAAACTAAACCAAATTAGACTAGACTAGACTGACTCGGCTCTGTCTCCTGGCAATAGAGGCTCTTTTCACTATAGCTTCCCTTGGGCATGACATGGCGTGCATCGACTACGATGGAGGACATTAACACGATATAGCTCAGTCTCATTATGTAATCCAATCCACAGCTACACTACCTACACTAAACTAAGTGCATTCAGTGCATATATCGCCAGGTTACAGCCTTGTCTCCCTTGGCGGAAAGCTCCTCCTCGGAGATCGTCTCGTGTTCACCAGCTGCCATTCTCCTGTCACGGCTCTTGTTGATGCGGCTATAGCTGAAGATCAGGATAAGAGCCGCAATGATGCCCCCGCCAATGAAACCCAGTTCCAAGGCGTGACCTAAAATGTAGCGAGGCCCATCCTTTTGTCGGTAAAAGTTTGACGCCATAGCCTAAGTTCGTTAATGAGAAAAGCCTTGCTACGGGAAAAGGATTGCACTTACACCGCCGAGATTTCCGACTCCGATCTGGATAGCCATTCCAACACTGCGTTTGTAACTTCCTGACAGATTATTGGCCAGCCAAGTAATAACTCCTGGGAACGCAGGATAGATGGCGCATGCTGCGATGAAGACACCGGCGTAGACGACCTTGGGGTTGTGGGTAGAAATACACCTGAGGATGTTAGTATGAACTGGAGCAATGTGACTTTGTGGACAACTTGCATCGTAAAACCAACAACCATGACGCAGAGGAAAGACACGATGAAGGGACTTCTCTTGCCAACTCGGTCTGATGTCCAAGCGACAACCACAGCTAGGATAGCTGCAGTGATATAAATAGGAACAGTCATGAGCTGGGCCTTGCTAGAACTGTAGCCAAGGTTTCGAATGATGGTGGGCAAGAAAAGACTGATACCGTAGAGTGGGCAGACAATCTGTCATGGTTGGTTAGCAGTGCTCATGCCACGGAAGCTCATATCGTTGACTTACACCCCAGTAAACAAAGATGTTGACCCAAATCTGCCAATCCTTAAACGCCGCCCAGACATACTCCCACTTGAACTCATCAGCCTGCGCAACACGAGACTGACTCTGTCCCGCAGCCTTCTGCTGGCCCTGATACTTGAGTCTGAAGACGACGAAAGCGCGCTCCTCTTCGGTCAAGAAGCTTGCAGTCTCAGGGAAGTCATAAAGTGCCCAGAAGGCAAAGATGGCAACAAGAACGGTAACGATTCCCTCGAGGATGAAGATCCAGCGCCATCCTTCGAGGCCTCCAACACCGTCCATCTTTGCGATTCCAAAGGCCAGAAGACCACTGAATGCACCGGCGATGGAAGCCGCAGAGAAGAAGAGGGCCTGTCGGAATTGGATTTCGTGACGGCAGTACCACATTGTGAGGTAGTACTTAAAACATGTTAGTTTACCAGCAAATAATCGACAAGTGACGTAGACGTACAGCGACACCGGGGAAGAGACCGGCCTCAGTAACACCAAGAAAGATGCGCGCGACGAGAAGACCATGGTAGTTCCGAACAATGCCCATGAGTGTCATCACGATACCCCATGCAATCATGATTGTAGGAAGCCAAACGCTTGGGCGGAGTTTCTTGAGAAGGAGATTCGACGGAACTTCAAAGGCGGCGTATGTGAAGAAGAAGACGGTGAGACACCAGTTGTATTGGTCCGGGCTCATTTTGAGATCTTCCTGAAGACCCTCGATCTTTGCGTTTCCGATATTTCCTCCTGTAGTTGCAAGCTTAGCTTGGCGTCATGGTGAGTGATGCGACAGACTTACGGTCGAGAAAAGAGAGGAGGTAAAGAAGTGCGAGCATGGGGATCAATCGCATGTCCATCTGAGAGTCCTTCATTAGTGATAAGATGGCAAATATTGGTGTCCAGAACAAACCTTGCGAAGAATCTTCTTCTCATCAAGATGAGAAAACGACTCGAGGGTTGTACCAGGTGCCGTAGCCATAGCATCAATACGATCGACCTGCCCTCTACCAGCAGCTTCGGCCTCAAAGACCTCGGCCTTCTCGTTTGGGGGAGTAGAATAAGAAGTCATGATGATGGCGAAGAATGTCTGTGTCTCTGCTCTGGAAATGGCGAGAAAAGATGGGACGATCAGCGAACTTAAGTATGTCGCGTCACCCTTGTCTTCCCCATGATTTCCCCGCAATGTCTAATGTCGCTGATCTTGAGTGAAGGGATCGTAAGAGGCTTGCGAGGAACGCACGCACGCACGCGGTAGATGGAGACGGGGGAGGGGGCGGAACAGTGCTAACGGTAGACTAGAGAGCGGGAAACGCTTATCTGGAATAAGAAATGGAACCGGATCCGATGGTTATGTCGAATGAACGAGTCATTCTTGGTCATGGTTTCGATTGTGCGTTACGAATCTCAGATCAATCTGCTACAACAGTGAGATGTGAGTGATGCTATTGCTCTTCATCCTGTATGCGCCTCTATCGTGATTGTCAATATCTCGTGGTTTCAACTCCCAGCTCTTCACTCCAAGGTGGGTTTCTACAATGCAAAAGCTTGTACGTCATAACAAAGAGTGAATGCCATGGCCTCGGTTCCGAAGATCCCTGTCAACACATGGCTCCCTTTTCTCGCCGGCGATCAGCGTTAGTTACCTAACAGAATGTGGCGGCGCCCGTCACAAACCAAGGCAGACGAAAGAACAAGAGTTTCTCCAAAAATAAGCTTTCAAACGCCGTAATTTCACCCTCTCCCCCGTTTTACCAATCGAGCTCTGAAGAAGTCATCTCCAAAGGCGGTAAGAATCAAGATCGTCAACCCGTCGTCAAAACGATCTAACCTTGAATGTCAACCCCCATACTAAAGCTGAACTGGGGGATCTGCATTACCCCGCATCATCTGATGAAAGACTTCCCTGTTGTCTCTTCCAAATAAAGTGGATTCTTTTCATTCCCAACAAACATCATCCGGATCCGAAAACGACTCCTGAATCGCGAATTGCTACCACTGCAACGCTCACCTATAGACTATAGTGGATCCGATATGCCAGCGGGTCTCGTTACACGTCGTACTCAGTTCTCCAGCTGCGACGAGTGTCGTAGATCGCGTGTGGCTTGTGATGCCCAGAGCAGCGAAGGGACTTCTTCGTGTACACGCTGTCGGAACCGTCACCATGCGTGTACCTTCAAGGTATGTAGCTATGGCCCCTGACTCGCCAAGAGATGATTAAGGTCTTGCACAGTGGCTCCAGAATGCCAAAACAAACAATGGAGGGACGAAGCGCAGGTCACGTCGAGGGACGACACGGCCTACAAGCGACACATCCTCAACACGCGGCAGTCGAGTCACGGATACTTCCCATGAGTCGGGGCTTGATGCAGGTCCTGCCAATAACCCAGACGATGATACCTACAGAGACAGCCCAACCGTGATGGCAATGCCTGAGTCAGCATCTTTGCCATGGTGTCCAAGTCCAATAAGGAATTCATACGAGAGTGTCAACATGGAAAATGTGGACTCTAGATGGCTTGATACTCTGTACAGAGAAGGTTTCGAGGCAGTCTTTGGCTCTTGGATGGGAAGATATGCTTGCCCTTTCCTGTACGTACTAACCAAGAGTCTCTATCTACTATGTATACTCACATGAGCAGATTCGGTCACAACCTAGCAGACAAATACGTCAGCATATCTGACCTCTGTCGCCATCTCGATGGCTGCATAGTAGATACTGGAGACAGCCAACTAGTCGGTCGAAGCAGAGACATTGAACAGTCTCTCCAGAGCACCATTTCAGCATTTGCAGCACGATGGCTCCCTGTTACATCTCCAGAGCCAAATTCCAACGAGGATCACTGCAGTCTTGTCCAGGCTCTCTGGAGGCATGCCAGGAGGGACATGTTACGTGTCATAAACAGGCCAGCCTACCGGTCAATGCTATCTCTGCTTCTGTTCGCTCTAACGCCAATACCAGACGGCATCTCGGAGGACGAGGAGGCAGATGGAATTTCCGGTCAGGCTTGTGTTCATGCAGCCTTGCAGCAGATACAAACATTACGTGCACGTCAGAGAAACCTGCAATTCAGCGGTTCCAAAGTTTCTCCGTCTCTCAAATCCCAAGCTATTGTCACAACACCAGAGTCGATCGAAACATCAGGCTTCATAAATGCCGAAAGTACTGTATACTGGGCAGCTTTAACATTTGACACCTCCGCATCTCTCACCCTCAATTGTCGCTCACTTCTATCTTCAGGTCTTTTCGGCTTTGAGTCTGAACTCCCATGGCGTCTCGTCAAAACTTGTGCCAAGATGTTTGACGAGAACGCCCGCCAGTGGAAGCAAGGTAGCTCAGATATGACGGATGAAAGAGCGAATCAGATCATTGCTGCTGGGGCCTCTTGGAAGCTCCTTGGATGGAAAGTCACTGCCATTTTCAAAGAAGCTCTGAGAGATGGCCATGAGGAGTCAGAAGTTCGGAGAGCATACCTGGCCGTAGTTGACTCTGTGAAACAATTTGGCATCATTTATCGCCCACTTTTGGACGAATGTCATAAACGCATGCCTTTTCTTGGGCAACAGACAAAGCTTCGATGGTGTAAGTTTAAGTGGTTCTACAAACAAAACCCCTGCTGACTATGTAGTTTCTCTTATGCTTCACTACCATCTCAGCATCCTCATGCTAGTGGACATCATCGAAGCCACGGACCGCCAGGACCTGCTATCAGACATAACCGACATATGTATCGATGCTGAGAACACGGTGATGAACACTCTAGCATTCGGTTTGCACAACACATTTACATTAAAACGACCCATCGATTCAATCGTCGGCGATGGTTTGAGTAGGAGGCAATCGGTGTTCACAGTACCGATCGTGTCTATTGATCCATATCCGCACCATGCCGTCGCTGGGGTGCAGTTGCTGAGAAAAGCCATTGACCGTGACTTTGGCATTGGAAAAATCACCGAAGAAACTTACCAGAGTTTATTGTCCACGTTGGAGAGGACGTTGAGGCATTTGCCGCAGAGCTCAAAGTCTGTGCGGGCAGCGATAGCAAAGTTCTCAACGACGGCTGATGCAAATAGTGCACATGCTAGTATTTTAGTCTAAATAACAAGCATTCCTGTCGGCCGGCCTAGAATGTGAGCCCTTTGTTCAAGTGATTCAGATACTATGTACGATTGCAGAAGGTGGTTGAGTTGGATGCACGGACTGGGCGCTGTGAGTTTCCGCTGTGCGGAACAAGTAATCAAATTACCCCAACTCAAGCGAGTTCAGCCACTGACCTCAGAGTCAATTTTCGGTTACAATTATCCTGATTTTGTCTCGGATCCGACGGTCAAAATGGAGTGGAGATGTTCGCCACTCACTAACTTACCCAGTTTCTGGGGCATCATTGACCGGATCCGAAACGATGACGATCATTTGTTGACCAAGATCTACTGGAGCCTCTATTTCCTTGCTTCTATTTCAACTTCTTCTCCTCAATCGGATGCATTCAAGCTTTCAAACATATTCATTCTCTTAATATTGTCAAAATGGTTCTAACAGTAACTCCTAAGAAGTCGGTCACTTTGATCGGAGCAGGCACTCAAGGAAGACGCCTTGCGTTCATGGTATGTGTCGCCTCAATAATTACCTTGTCCTTTGTGAACTATTTGCTAATGCCCTTATCTCAGTGGTCGAGTAGAGGAAACGACGTCCATCTGGTCGACGGCCAAGAAGCCCAGCTTCAAGCCAGTATCAAAGCCATTGAGGAGTTTCGACAAAGTTCGAGCAACGTAAATGCTTCTTCGGGGAGAATCATCACTCACTCTCCCGAAACCTTGCGCGAGGCTCTTCAAGTTGCTTGGCTGGTAGTCGAGGTAAGCAACTCTGGTATCATAAATGACCAAAAGCTGACTGAAAAGTGTGTACCTGAGCAAATCGAGCTCAAGACGAAGGTCATCTCAGAGCTTGATGCACTAGCTCCACGAGATACTATCATTGCATCAAACTCGAGTAGCTATTCCTGCTCGGAGATATTGAAAGGTCTTAATCTGAGAAACGAGAGGCGTTTTCTAAGCGCCCATTCTTGTAGGTGTTCAAACGCTGGCAAAACACCTATCTATACTGACTGAAATAATGTAGACTGGCCACCTGAGACACCCGGTAAGAATCATACATAAGGCGATCTACGTGATGCACTGCTAACAGGGGCTAGAAATCGAGATTATGGGCCATGAAACAACCAATCCTTCATATATCACGTTGATGATGGAACAATGCAAAGCCCACGGTTTCTCCCCATTTCATGTAAAGTCACCATCAATGGGATACATTTACAACAGGTAAGCGCTGATAAGATTCCCTTTTACGGCAACTAATTCAATTCCATCAGAATATGGGCAGCCATCAAGAGAGAAGCCCTCCTCGCAGCATCAGAAGGCGCTGCAACACCAGAAGAGATCGACAACATTTTCAAAGGAGTATTGAAAACACCTAAAGGGCCTTTTGAGCAGATGGATGTTGTTGGTTTGGATGTTGTTCTGGATATTGAGCAGCATTATGCGGATGCGAGAGGAAACATCCCAAGTGCGCCCCGAGAATACCTACAGAAGTTTTTGGATGAAGGGAATCTAGGAGTCAAGAGCGGGCGGGGATTCTATGACTACGGTACATCTTAGATGGTTTAGAATTCAATAGACTTTGATATTTCCGAGCAACAAAGTTGTCTAAAGCCATGCAAGGTTGCATAACGCCGAGCCGGCCATTTTACCCGAGAACAAAGGAAACTAGGAAGCATTCCTCCGAGCAAACGAATCGAAAAGCCCGAACTTGGCAATGCATAAGATGACATATATAGGGCCAGGTTCCAAAAGCCACGGCGGCTTGGTAACATTCGCTGAATGCAGGGGAACGCCACAGGGGTAGCGAATACCACCCTCAAGGTTTGCGCGGGGAAAGGGTTGCATCAGCCCGGGATCTCTTTCGGGATGGTAAATGGCATGATACACCAAAAATGCTGGGGTATGACAGCATGTGCCAAGAATCAGTTGGCACATCTCTCAACGATAGACTGTGTAGGGTTACACCCAGAACTGCTTGAGGAAGATGCCCCGGTAAGCGAGCTTATCAGGGGGAACGGAGTGAACCCGTGGGTCTGGAACTTGAACGAGCCTCGCTTGAACGCTTGCGCAGTGCCAAGAGACGGTTGCACGATCATACCACCATACCCTGTTACTAAGTGCTTCTCTAAATCTAGCCGTATGTTACCCAAGGCCCCGTCTTTGGTAGTATTGGTGTTACGGAAGACGCGGGTGAAGATCTAAGGGAAACGAGGATGAACTACTGGGGTCCTGACGCAACCCAGAAGATGATCACAGATAGAACCCAATCGACAGCATTAAAGTCTATTTGTCTAATAATGAAAACGCTTAGCGGACGAAGACGAATACGTGCTATGTACAGATTACCATTATGCCATTGTCTACAGGTAGACGTAGCAGAATGGTCCGGAAAGCGTGCTCATCAGATCCTTGATCTGTCGCTCAGGCCCAACCCAGCCAATATTAACATAATCATCAAGTGTAGTCTCAGCACTGGGAGGCATGTTGAGGAAAGTGTTTGTGCCCTGGACGGCATTCTTGCCGTTAACACGTTCCTTGGGGTTAAGCATCTGCCAGATCCACCAGACACGGTCAATCATGGAGTGGTGGAGATAGAAAGCAGGATCGCCGGGAGAAGTGAAGACATCACGACCGGGGTCACCGCCGAGAGAGTAGTGACCACCTCCATGAATACCAATATCTCCAGTGCCGGGTACACCCTGCATCTGCATCTGGAAGTCCAGAACAGTCTTGGGCTTGATAATATTGTTAAGAACAGATGTAGCGTTAGCGAAACGCTTGTTGACGGCGTCGCTGAGATCACGCTTCAAGCAGCGAGGGTTGTAGTCCAGAGGGTTGGGGTTGGCAGCGACACCACCGCCGGGAAGGTCAAGAGCGGCAGGGCCCAGATTGACCTTCATGTCCTTAAAAGGACCGGACTTGACACAGCCGCCACCAGAGCCAGCGGGAAGGTAGACGGGAGGGAGACCACTTGAGGCACCGAGGATGATATCGGGCTCGTTGGGGATGAATTCACCGTCGCCAGAGATGGACAAGTCGCTTCCATCGAAGACAGGAGACTTGTTGAGGCCGCTGAGTGCGGTAAGAGCCCAGTCCCAGTACTACCAGAATATTAGTGAGAGTAGTTCAGTAGAATGGTGACTTTACTTACCGGTTGAGTTCCCTTGTAGCCACACTCATTTCGAAGGGCCTCCTCATACAGCCAAGTGAAGTATCGGTGCCATGTGAGGAAATTTCCAGTGTAGTGGATCGTCTGAGTCTGGTTCAGATGCACAGCAACCCAGTCATCGAAGCGAGTCTTGGCACCAGCGGCGAAAGACGCAGGGGACTTGGAAGGCTTAGACTGGAGACACTTGACAGCATCGATGTAAGACTTCTTCTCGTTCTTGGAGAGGGTGCCCCTGTAGCAGATGTTAGAGAAGATGCTGCTGGAGAGGGACGGGCAGCTTACCATTCTCGTCGAACACGGACGTTGCTCCAGTTGCAGGTGCTGGCACGCTTGGTCTTATCCCCAGCGAGGTCCTGGGCAGTCTCATACGCAGCGGCAGCGAGATCGGCGAGCTCATCGAGGTTGGTGACCTCGGGTGCAGACGAGTCAACGGTGGTGGCTTGGGGGGCAGCCAAAACACCAGCGGCGTTGAGGGCCAGGAGGGAGATGAAACCAGCACGCATGATGGCAACCTAGACGAGAGAGAGAAGGGACGAAAAGAGAGGGCAGGGATCTTCTTTGCAGCACCGGTGTTTGGCTTGAAGGACCAGTGAGTGAAGACTGTCTTGGATGCAGAAATGTGATGAGCTATATACTACTGTATCATCCCCTTGGACATTTCCCCTTCTCCTGCATTTCAAGGTCATGGATTACCACGCATAATCGTTCAGGGCCAGCCCATGGATCTTGTCCAAGGGCCTATCAATTGGAGCGAGTACGCTTACATCTCTAATGGGAATATGTCCCCGAGGCGAAGGCAGGGTCGTTGACTAAAACCCTAGAACCAACGGCAGAAGAGAACTTTTCTGTGGACTCGTAAAAGCCCGTCCCTTGTTGCCGAGATAGAGGGGTTCGGTTGGTTCGGCCAGATGAGTTATAGCTTAGATCTAATCCGATTTAGGGACCCATCAGCGGGTTTGCATTAGCATTGGCATTGCAGGGGGTGGGACCAACTACGCCACCGGACGATTCTTAATTCAGGGGAATAGAGTGCTTACGGCGGTAGGTCTTGACTCGCGAAATGCATGATTATGCAGCTGAAGCCATGGCCCGAAGTTCTTGTCACATTCGAGGGCCCTAGATTTTCAGGAGAGTATAAGACGCTCAAGTAATAGCGTAGGTGAGCGCTAGATTGACGCTTTGACGCCGGGAAGAACTAGGGTTGGTGATCCGGAACAGTTCCGTGCTAAGATGAGTGGAGTTTTAGGCTCGGACACGAACATTGACATTCCCGTTAGTGACGGGACAAAGATTCGTGTTTTGACCACTAGACTAGCATGACTGACTAGCAAAAGATTGTTGCTGATCGTTATGTCGATCTCCCTCGCGAATCACTCGATGTCACCCAGATGTTTCACTTTGAGAAGTGATGATAACCCACCCATTTTCGATCGCGGAGTTGCATGCCGAGTACATGATCAAATAGGCGAGATCATGCAGTAGAAATGTATATCACACATACAATATATCCGTACTCAGGTCGAGATATCCTCGCTCACCTCGTCAGGTGGGCCGCCAAGACCGGTACCGCATTGGTCGCTACGGATATTACCTCGACCTTCTCTATTAGCCTCGGCTATAACCTGAATGCAGAATAAGAGGCGACCTGAGCGTTTCATAAGTCCTTTATCCAGAGGACCTGCATATGTATCAATCCAATCCTGGTAAGGCCAATCACCTCCGGCCAGGGTCAGACTCCCCGTTAGGGAACTCGTATGATACATCTGAACGTCGGAGTCACAGTGGCAATACAAGGGTT